CATCAGCCTTTCGGACATCCACTGGGAAGGCTGTAAATGAGGGGTCTGAGAATGTGCCAGCGCAGTCGGTTGTGAAGGATGCCCGTAACCTACGCGTAGCCTGCTCAAATACAAAGGTTTTAGTTAAACACCCCAAAATCTTTATTTGTAGGCTTACGAGTTTAAAAACTTCAGCAAATAAAATCAGTGTAGTTAGTCTTAGGTTAAGTATTGCACGTGGTTGAGCAAAAGTATTTGAGTGTACCTTTCAAAGACACTTGGGAAGGGGATTGTATTTGCTTTTTCTAGCTCTGCATGACAATCCTGAAGGTCCTTGGATGTACTCGTTCGGTTCAAGGGTTCTTATTCCCCGTGAGAGTTTTAAAATATTTGTTTAAAGTGTATACTCACAGCAATTTTTTAGGCTTGTGTAAATCAGTCATCCATTCATTTCTACTCTTTCGTTTTTGGGAAATGTTAGCTTTATCGAAAAAACAATCCATAGTTTTGTGTATTTGTAAAAAAGTTCTCACTAGCCTGCATGTGCTCAGAACTGCAAACAGACAGAACTTTGTCCTGTGGCCAATATTTGTATTAATCGTATCTGCCCGGTGTTTGAATGTATGAGATGTGGCTCCATAAAAGCCAAGAGGCAAAGAAGTGTGATTGTTCTTGTCTTGGAGCCTTGCTCTGGAGCCCTGCTCTAGATCAGGTTTCTTTTCTGACTACCACTGTGGTTCTGTTGAACATACGGATATAGTAGTATATGATATTGACGAGGTCATATTAAAAAAAGGATTTTTTATCTTTTAAAACTTGAATGAAAATAAGTGCAAAAATAATAACTGTTTAACTACCTGTGAAAGTGTAGTGTTCTGACACCAGCGGATGAAAAGGACATTCTAATCATTTATTAAACTTATTAGTCTTCGAAGATACAGTACTTACTAAACTAATTTCCTGGCACTAGCAATGTATTTTTATTTTCACATTTGTAACGACAAAACAAAATTAAGATATTTTCATGCGTTGATATGTTCAAAAATTAAACAATAGCTTTTAAGGCAATTTGGTTTCCTTCTGTGAATTTAAGCATTTTTGTGTGAATGCTGAACTTCTTTTCATCCAGCTGTAAACTTTTTGGCTTTGAACTCACTGACACATAATGAGTAGTTCAGAAAGTTATTAGAGAAGGAAAAAGGCTGAAAGATCAACACAATCACTTAAATGTAAGGTCTTTGCAACTGAGGCTTCAAAACAAAACACTGTATTTGACAGATTTTTAAAAAATTCTTTGAACGTTAGTTTGAAAATTGTACTACAGTGTTATTTTTCTGTTGATTACCTAGATATTGAAAAAGCTTTGTTGTATATACCCTTGTTTTGGCAGGTTCAGGGTTGTTAGTTGCAGCTCAAGATGCTACAGAAGATGAGGAAGCTGTGGAGGATACTGTAGTTGAAGATGAAGATGATGAAGCTGAAGTTGAAGAAGATGAGCCAACAGACTTGGTAATTGTACATGAACGTTACTTCATAAGTATGAATTAGACCAAAAGTGCTTGAAGCTAGATAGTTTAGATATATTTAAATGTGAGTTTAATAAAATTGCTGTTTCCAAGTCTCCAGTTAAACTTGTGGTGTTGGAGATTTCTGAAGGCTTTATCTTTTCTTCCTGAATTACCAGTTGATAACCTCCGTGGGGACAGCCTGATTTCTGACTACTGAATCTGCAGTTCACAAAAAACAACACCAAGTGAGAGAACCAGATTCTCATAGGAGCCTCTTGTAGTTCTTCTTTTCCACCTTAAGCTTCATCTCAGTAAACTGAGAAGGACTTTGGGATATAGGACTAGTTCGTTCTGGCTTCTTTGGTATTGATTTTCAAGGGGCAACAGAATCTTAGTTCTTAGTTAAGCTCAGTATTAATTCTGAAAGCCTTGTCTTGCAGCCTATTTTCACTTAACTACATTCCTAGTCCCTGGCACTTGTTGCAGGGTACGCCTGTTATACCAGGGGCATATTGCTGTTCAGGGTCATTTGCTTGAGCTTGACAAAGTGAAATATTTTATGTAGTTATGTGGTCTGCTTTTAGCAGTAGAGTATTAGACTTGCTAGATGCTTAGTGGACTTAAAGTGGTACAGAAATTTCTCACATTTCTGGTGTAAAATAAAAAACTTCGGGATGTTATTAGGAGGGGAAGACATGCATAATAAAAATGGAGACCTGGTAAACTCTCCTTTGATCCTATTAGGTTTTTAGTGATGTTGGTGAGCTTATGGTTGACCAGCTTTGCTAAGTGGTAGAAGGTATGCTAGGTATTCAGTGCTGACAGAATACTACTAAATAACCTTTTAGATGTAATTTGCTTTTAATAAATAGTCTATGACTCGGGTGCAAAACATTACACTTTTTAGGCAGTTTCTTGTATTTGTCACTGAAATAGAAGGCGTTTTGCATAGCATCTTGAAACGTGCTTAGCTCTGGTTCACAGCTTCCCTAGGTCCTGGTACGCGTATGACTGGTACAGCAGGCTGTCCACTGCTTCAAGTGGTTAGGCAGTGAAATCAAATGATCTAACTAACTTGCCAGCAATTCGTTCAGACAGTTCAAAATGGAGTCAGCCTTGGTTTTATTTGGTGGGGGAAGTGGTGATCCCACAGTCCCCACGTGGAAAATAAGCCCTTAACGGCTGCGTTTGCCAAATTAAAAAATGAGTTGTCACAAAAGCGAGCTTGAACAAGTGAATCCATGAACTTAGTTAGTTCCAACAGTCTAACCGTTTCCAGGCATACGTAACACACAACTAATTAAAACTGAATAGAAAGCTTCTATAAACACTCCCTCTGTAGTGAAAGGAACTCTTGTTTGCCTTATGGTTGTCTATAATTTTGGAAATGCTTGCTTTCTAAATAGAAATAACTTAGATGTGAAAACTTAACATTTTGATTCTATTCTTTTCCCTCCACCCCCAAACAGAGAACTTATGTTGCTTTCTGGCAAGAAACCTTTCAATACAGCTGAATGCAGCTGAGAGTAGTCACGCTGTCAAGTATAACAAGTAGAAGGATAAATGCTGAAAATGATGCTAGTCAAATCTAGGGGGAGAACAGACTGTGCTCATCAGGATATTGATACTAGTGCTTACCATTGTTGCATGCTTTGACACATGGGATTCTCATGAAACAAGCATGGTCTCTGCTTCACTGTTCGTTATAGGCTTTTTCAAAAAAGTCTCTTGTCTTAGACAGAAGAAAAAGAGGAAGAAGACTTGTCAGGAGAACCTAAAGCCTCACCTAGTGCTGATACAACCATCTTATTTGTGAAGGGTGAAGGTAAGAGTCCTGTGCTAATCTACAATCTTCTTTACTGTTGCTTAGACTGTATCAATGTGTGCATAAAACAGGGATCTGTAAAAAAAACCCCATAATCTGTTCTAGACACTCTCCGTTTAGAAACGGGCTAGGTGGTGTATATGAAGTGTCTTAACAATTGAATATTTTTTGTTTTAGACTTCCCAGCAAACAACATTGTGAAATTCCTGGTGGGCTTCACCAATAAGGGTACAGAGGATTTCATTGTCGAGTCTCTTGATGCTTCTTTCCGGTATCCTCAAGACTACCAGTTTTATATCCAGAACTTCACAGCTCTCCCTCTGAATACAGTAGTTCCACCACAGAAACAAGCCACGTTTGAGTACTCTTTCATCCCTGCTGAGCCTATGGGTGGTCGTCCTTTCGGACTGGTTATCAATCTCAACTACAGGGATGCAAATGTAAGCCTGATACTGTAATT